ATAATGCGCATGCGTTTCCTACCGACTCGGACTGCCGATCTGGCGTCCAGTCATCCTCCTCTGGTTGCTATGGCCATTGCCAAGGCACCAATTCTTTCTCGAATCGCTCTCCCTCTTTTGCTGTGCGGTTCGGCTCGTTGCCTGGTCTCGCTGTTACGCTCCCTGGCTTGAGTAGCATGTCCTTCCCCTGCTTGGCTGGGTATAAACTTCGACCCTTGGATCTCGAGCACTTACCCCTCGCAACCATGGCTACTGAGCATAATCCTGATCACGTCATGTCGGAGGAGCAGATCCCCGTGGGAGATGACACGATTGGTGAACTCGGGGACGAATTCCTCGAGGATCTTCCTGACGGAGCCCTTCCCGAGCTCCATGACGGAGCTGCGACCTCCATTCCTGCTGATGCTCAGTCGAACCCGACGGGGGAACCCGCCGCTAAAAAGCTATGCAGTGAGGGGCAACCCTCGGCTGCTGGTGCCTCTGGCGTCGCCTCGGCGTCTCACTCAGCGCCTTCCCCGATTCCCCGCGCAAGCTCTTCCGGTAGCTCTGCTGCCACGGCCCCCCCGCCGGTCCGCGCGCCTGCTCCCTCCGTGCCTCGTCCGGCGCCTGTTTCCCGGTCTCGGCCTGCGCCACCGGATCCCGAACCTGAGCCTGCTGCTGCTGGGTTGGCCACGGGCCTGGCTCTCAACACCCGCTATCGGAATCTTCGTCGCCACCGTACGATGGTCGGAACGGTCCTGCAGGCGATGCTCCGCAACACGCAGTCGCTGGTTGACATCATATTTCCCGAGTCCTCGGCGGAGGATGTTCGGGTCGCTGTTCTCGCGCGTATCGCCTCTCTCATCAACGGTCAGGCCTTCAATGGCGTCATTCCCTCGTACGAAGCTGCTGCTGGTGAGGCCCTGCGGCTTCCGCGCCGCACCTATTCCAAGCATTCTTACTCCTGGCCCTCAGCCAACGATGCTCGCATTTTTCGCAGTCTGTTTCCGATCACTATGCGTCTGTCTAACAACCGCGCTATGGAGGTCAAGGTTTTCACTGATCCCAATGAAGAGTTCACGACCGCCCGCGCCAGGGGCGACACCCACCTGGTCCTCCGCAACTTGCCTCTGGGGTACTCTCCTGATCGCCTCCGCAGCACCCTCCTGGCGGGCAGGACCGACTCCGGCCTGCCCTGGCTGGCCGACCTTCGCCTGTTCCACCGCCTCAAGGATCCGTATGACGAGTCCGCGTATTCTCAGCTGCTCGGCCTTCCCGTCGCGGCGGATGGCGATGCTGGATTCGACCGCGTCCCGGCAGTCCTTTGGCTCCCCCAGCAGGAGGACCCTGTGCTTCTCAACATCTCGTCCCATTCTTGCACTGTTTGCACCAGCAACCACCGAGTGGCTGACCACGCGTGCTTCGCCCTCACCCGGCGCGCGCGACTTCCGAACCGCCACACCATCTCGGTGGCCCAGCTTCAGGCTGTTAACGGTACGAGACTCTCCTGTTGGCTCTGCTGTTTGGTCTCAGCAGATTGCTTCCTTCCTCTCATGCACTCCGCGCCTATGGTATGGTTTTTTACCGTTGGGTGCTGCTTCCGCGGTTCCTCCCTTCTTTGGCTCTATGTCACTTGTTACTATCCTTGCCGGCCCCAGGGCCACGAGATCTCTCCCCCCCTGCTTCTTTGTGCTCTCTTTATTCATCTTCCCCCATTCAGGGCGCTTGATTGGACAGCACCCGGCCCCGGTTGCTTTCAAGAAAGATCCTGGCCTCCTCTTGATTGGGGTCGACCTGGACGTGGAGGTCTGGTCGTGCTCCATGTGCGATTTCGAGTGTGGGTTAGCGCTGGACAGCGCAATGTACCACCTCAATTCCGAGCTCCACCGCAAGCATCTGCAGGAGTCTGCCCACCTGCCTGCCACAAAGGACAAATATGGTGCCTGGAGGGCCACCACTCTCCTGCAGCACCCGCGCATCGCTGCGTTCCTGCTGTAGATGCCTTCCTTCTCGGCCGGGCTCTCGCGTGTGCTAGAGTAGTCTGCCACCTAGTGCGGCTGCTGTGCAGCCTGCTCTCTTGCCGTTCTCTCATGCTGTATCCCTTGCAAAAGAGTGTACTTGCACTGGTAGGGCTCCTGCCTGCTCAGTGGTCTCTTTCTTTGGATCTTCTCCTGCCCCGTGGATGCACATGCGTCAGCATGTGGGGGCCTTCGTTGGTTCTCAATGTTAGTCCCCCTAACAGTCCGGTGCATTAACGTCAATGGCCTTAATAAGCAGCAAAAAATGTATGATCTACGTTCATGGGTCTCTGAATGTGAAAGGAAAACTGATATTCTGGTTCTGATTGAGACTCGGCTTACGCTTAATTTCCCTCGCCTTCTTTTGGCATTTAAGCCTTCCTCTCATGCGCAATGTCCCCCACCCTTCACTGACCGTGCTAAACCGGTGGTATTGCCATCTTAGTTTTTAACAAAAACATTAGCATCTCTTCTATCGAGCCCTCGCTTGACGGGCGCCTGCTCACTGTTCACGTCAACTTTCTGCAGGAGCAGTTCCGGCTCATCGCCGCCTACGCGCCCTGCGCCACCACTCTAAGGCGTCAGTGGTGGCGGGCAATCTTCGCGCCTGCTCTCGACGCTCCTACCGCTGCGACCGGCACTGTGCTTGGAGGAGACTTCAACACAGTCTGTGATCCCGCTGATAGGAATCGCCTCTTGCTCAGTCACGAAGTGTCGGAAGGTGCTATCCTCACATCTATCTTGGACAATCACCGGCTAGTCGATTCTTTTAGGAAAATTTATCCCACAGCTTTTATGTTTTCCTTTTTCGCGATTCCAAGGGCAGATCAAGGTGATTCACCGCCGTCTGCTTCACGGCTTGATCGGATTTATATCTCCGCTTCTCTGGCTTCCCGTCTGCTTGATGCCGATTATGTCTCTGTCTCCAGCGATGTGTCTGACCATGCTCTTTCGCCGTACTGTGTGCTTAAGTGTGACAGCCCAAATATCGCCCCGCGGCCCTGGCGTTTGCCGCAAGATGTCCTCAAACGCCCGCAAATCTCTCACATTGTTGCTTCCGCCTGCCGCTCACTTCCTCCTTCTCCCTCAGCCACAGATTGGGACGTTTGGAAAGCTGGGCTGTGCAGACAACTTAAGGTCTTCGCTGGACAGGAGAAAATCCGTATTCGGAAAACCAGGTCCCACTTGCAGAATCTTACGTGTCAGCTCTGGATCCATCTGGCGATTCACCCTACAGATGCGGTGGCTAAAGAGCGGCTTCGTGTTGCCGCCCTTCACTTCGAACGTTACGAGGCCAGTCGATCTGCGGAACTGGCGCTTAAGTCCAAGCTCAAAGTCGAAGGTCCGCGGGAGATGGGAGTCTCTTCTCTCATGGTTGGAGTTAATCGACGTATCAAAGCTTCTCTGATCCCCTCCCTCAAGGCCGCATCTGGAGAACTCATTTCTGATCTCCCCGGCATGACCTCTCTCTGTACTACCTTTTTCCGGAAGCTCTACAGCGGTTCTCAGCCTGTGTTGTCAGACCCTTCCTTTTGGTCCCGCATCCCCACTTCGCATCTCCCTCAGCCTGTCGTTTCTCGGCTTTCGCTCCCCTTTTCCCTTACAGAGGTCTCTAAGGCCATCGCTTCTCTCCCCAAGGGCAAAACCCCTGGACCGGACGGCCTGCCTGGTGAATCTCCCCAAGGGCAAAACCCCTGGACCGGACGGCCTGCCTGGTGAATTGTTTTGGTCCTTTCGCCCTCAATTCACCTCGGCCATCCACTCTCTGCTGCTTGGCTCTCATGAACATCTCCCCCCCTCTATGCTCCAGGGACGCACCGTGCTCATTCCCAAGCGTAGTGATGCCTCGGTGGTTAATAACCTACGGCCTATTACGCTCATGAACTCCGACTACAAGATCCTGGCGATTTGTCTAGCTAACAGGCTGCAGCCCCTGCTCCCTGGCCTCATCCATCATTCTCAGACCGCCTTTATCAAGTCCCGGAAGATCGGAGACACGCTGAATGATACTCTGGACATCTTCGACTGGGCCACTACTCATTCCCTCCCTCTCCTCGCTCTCACTGTCGATATCCGCAAAGCCTACGACATGGTTGACCGTGAGTTCCTTTTCTCCTGTCTCGCGCATCTCGGCCTGCCCCCCCCTTTCATACATTGGGTGAGACTCATGCATTCCGGCACATCCACTTGCATTTCGGTCAATAATATGTGTGGCCCCCCTATCCCTGTGCTAACCGGGGTCCGTCAGGGGTGCCCGCTGGCCCCGCTTCTTTTCCTTTGTGTCGTGGAAATGTTCCATCGCTATGCCTCTGGTTTCCTTCCCGGCTTCCCCTTCTCCCCCACGCAGCGACGGTTGATGGCTTGCTATGCCGATGACGTCACCATTTTCCTCAACTCTGACAAAGAATTGCGCCTTGCCTCTCATGCTCTCCTCTCCTTCGCCTCAGTCTCAGGCGAACACCCCAATTGGGCGAAGTGCTCCCTGATTCCTTTTAATGTTGATCCCGCCTCCATCACCCGTGCAGGAGACATACCTATCCGGCACGTTTCGGAGTTCGAGAGGATTTTAGGCATTTTTGTCGGCAGCTCTGGCCAGACGGACGTCACGTGGAACCTCGCTCTCTCTAAGGTTAAGCGCTCTGCCAATCTCCTTTCTCATCTCCATGCCACCTCCTCCTGCCGTAAGCTGCTGGCCTCGGAAAACCTGAACTCAACCCTCACCTTCCCGGCCCGCTTCCAGCCCCCCCCGTCTCCCACCTCCAAGGCTCTGGATGATGCAGTTGGAAACTTCCTGTCTGCTTCCAAGTATGTTTCCGCAGGACGCACCACTCGGCTCCTCACACATACGGTCCTCTACAACAAACTCGAGCATGGCGGGCTGGGGGCAATTCGGCCTTCCATTCAGATCAAGGCCCTCAACATTCAACGAGCCTTGCGCCGTCTTTCTCCTCTCCCTGACGCTTCTGTGGCCAGGACGTGTGTTCCCATCCCCTTCGGTCTTCATAGCTTTCTCGCTCATCCGGACCTTGTCCCTGCTATTCCCCCCTCCACGCCCATTCGTGTGCGTGAGGAGGTCAGCTGTCTGCTGGAAGCGTTGCTGGAAGTTTCCTCCCCACGACAGGAGTTCTGGTGTCTTCTGGCAGAACCCGTGCCGTTTAATCGGTTCATTGTCAAAGCTGATGGACGACCGTTCGGACGTCTCAAGGAGGAGGGCTTCTTATTCGCCAAGGAAGTACGGGTCGGTCATCTTGTTCGGCGTGACGCCTCTGGCGCTCGGCGGCTTACCAATGCTGAAATCATGGCCCAATACCCCCCCAGCACTTACCCTTGCAACTGCAGGATCATCAACGAAGTCTACGATGCCATGCCCAGGGAATGGTGGTCGGCTCTGGCGTCTTCTCACAGCCTGGTTCCTATCTACGCAGGCGATTGGGCTATGCTCGCAGCCGATATGTTCTCTCCTCCCAATATTGTCTTTGAGGTGATCGACCCCCAATCGGATGGGTCCTTTTTTGCTAATTTGTTTTGTGTGGACTGCACAGGCCGAATTGCCAAGGAAGCCACGGCGCGCAGACTTCTGTCTCCTCTTCACACCGTCCCTGTTCACGTCTTCAATCGATGGCTTGGGGGATCCTTTTGCTCCGGCGCTGGTCTTGCTGCCCGCCTCCCCTTGCTCAATGATGGGTTCCCATCCTTAGCGGGCATTCGGGATCTCCTGTACCATAAACAAGAGCTCACTCACCCTCCGCGTTGGACGAACATGCTCCCGAGTCCCGGCCCTCCGCTCTTTCCAGACTATAAGCACCCTTTCCTCTCAGAGCAACCGTCGTCGCAGCGTGATGTTCTTTTTCGTTTTTACGCACTCGCTCTTCCGTTCGGCTCTCGTTTTAGCTTCGGCCGCGATAAGGGTGCTTGCGCTGGGTGCTCTAGTGGACAGCTCGAGACCCTGCCTCATCTTTTCTTCGAATGCGGAGTGGCGAAACCGGTCCTTGACGCCCTTCAGCGCACAGCCAGCAGCCATCTTGGTATCGCCACGCCTCCAGAACTGACCCTATTTCCGCTTTCAGCCGGTGCAGGGCAGGGGGCCCCTTGGAGTCTTCTCGTTGGAGCGGCCGCTAAGACCATTTGGAACGCCCGCTGCAGTTTTCGTTATAGGCAGACCACTACCAAGACGGGGGATGCTCTGTTCCAGGTGCTACACTACTTCCTTCTCGCCTACAAAATTTTACTATGGCGTTGCTCCAAAGGCTCGAAGAAGAAGCAGGCCAAAGCCAAGCGTATTGCCAAGCTGGCCCATTCATATCGGTTCTTTCAGCTCACCGACGATGACATGCCCATCATTCACCCCGATCTGCGTGCCACCTGGCTGCTCGACGACATCTTTCACCCTCCGTGATCTGACTCTCCACCCTTGCCACATGTTAGCAAGATATTTGTCCCTGGACACCTCTGCTCCTGTAGCAGGAGGATTGTCAGAACATATAGCTTACTTGTTTCTGTAGGCTATAGTGGGGTATCCCATAGGGGGTACAACCCAATTAGGGTTTCCTATTTGTACCCACTTCATTTCATAGTCATTCACTCCCGTTCATTCAGTTTCTCATGGTATCGAGCGGGTCCCTTCTAAGGACCGTTTTTTTTTTGGGCCCACCCACGATCTTTTTTTTTCTGCCCGGAGCACGCCCTATTCTCCTCGAGGCGCGCTCCCCCTAGTGCGCGTCGAGCTGCCCTTGTGGCGCCCCGAGAGTCGCGCGCGCGACTCATTTTTTTTTTCGCGCGCGCGGCCCGGGCCCCACTTCGCGCGGCCCTTACAGCCGCGCCGCGCCGCCCTCTCGGCTCTGCCGCGCCGCGCCGCCCTCAAGACGGCCGCGCGGCCTCTTCGTCGCTGCGGCAGGCCCCCCCCCCCCCGCTGCACCTCTGTCGGCCCCGCCGCCGCCTTACCTGACGGCCGCCGCCTCACCTGACGGCCCGCCGCCTCGCCCTCTGGCCCGCCACCTCACCAACGGCCCTGCCGCCTCACCTGACGGCCCACCGTCTCACCTGCTGGCCCGCCACCTTACCTGACGGCCCCGCCGCCTCACCTGACGGCCCGCCGCCACCTTACCTGACGGCCCCGCCGCCTCACCTGACGGCCCGCCGCCTCACCTACTTGCCCGCCACCTGACCTGACGGCCCCACCGCCTCACCTGACGGCCCGCCGCCTGACCTGCTGGCCCGCCACCTCACTGACGGCCCGCCGCCTCCCCCGCTGGCCCGCCACCTGATCTGACGGCCCCGCCGCCTCACCTGACGGCTCGCCGCCTCACCTGCTGGCCCGCCACCTGACCTGACGGCCCCGCCGCCTCACCTACCGGCTCGCCACCTCACCTGCTGGCCCGCTGCACCCTGACGGCCCCGCCGTCCCCTGTCCCGGCCCCGCCGCTGCACCCTGACGGCCCCGCCGTCCCTTGTCCCGGCCCCGCCACTACACTGCAGCCGAGCCGCCCAGCAGCAGCCGAGCCGCTCAGCAGCAGCCGAGCCGCCCAGCAGCAGCCGAGCCGCCCAGCAGCAGCCGAGCCGCCCGGTACCCGAGCCGCCCGAGCCGCCCGAGCCGCCCGAGCCGCCCGAGCCGCCCGAGCCGCCCCACCAGCCCGAGCCGCCTGCTGCTGTCCTACCCGACTCTCCTAGCCCGGTGAGACTTTCAGCTGCTGCCATGGCCACCCCCAATGTTCTTACTTTTGACGCTGAGGGGAGGGCCATTGACTTTGCCGTCTGGATTGAAGACCTGCAGCTGTACTTATTGTGTGATGCGATAGATGAGGTCTCTCTCTTTGACTTTGTCTCTGGCGCTGTCCCTGCCCCGCCTGCTGATGCTGACTCTGCTGCTCGCTCCAAGTGGGCGACCCGCGATGCTGCTGCACGTCTTGCTGTGCGTCGCCACCTCCCTTCCTCTGAGCGTGCCCACTTTAGTCAGTGCAAGACCGCTCAGGCCTTGTACGACGCTGTAGTTGCACGCTACTCCTCCCCTTCCTCCGCTACCCTTAGCCGCCTCATGCTACCGTTTCTCTTCCCTGACCTCGCTTCCTTTCCCACTGTTGCTGACCTAGTTACCCACCTCCGCGCTAGTGACACCCGCTACCGTGCTGCCCTTCCTGCTGAGTTCCGCGCTGCGAACCCTCCTCCCATGTACATCACTCTCTACTTTCTCGTCACCCGTCTCCCTGAGTCCCTTCGTGTCGTTAGGGACCAGTTTCTCTCTGTCTGTCCCACCACTCTCACTGTCGACCTCCTTGAGGAGTCCCTGCTAGCGGCTGAGAAGAGTATTGTCGCTGTAGGGGCCTCTCGGGGTGACCCTCGCACCCCCATCTTTGAGGGGTGTGGTCCTTCCCCCCTGCTGCCCTCTGTCGCCTCTGCCGCTACGGCCGACCTAGCTGGTTTTGAGTCGGTCGGCGCGGCGTCTGCCCCCAGCGGCAGACGCTGCTCTGGCAAGGGCAAGGGGGGCAAGGGGGCGGGTGGAGCTAGAGGGGGCGGTGGAGGAGGCGGTGGGGGTGGAGGGGGGAGTGGGGGTGGCGGTGGGGGTGGTGGCGGGAGTGGAGGTACTAGTGGCGGCGGTGGAGGCGGAGGTGGCGGCGGAGGTGGTAGCGGAGGAGGCGGTGGGAGCGGTGGGAGCGACGGTCCTGGTGGGGGAGGTGGCGGTGGAGACGGGGGTGGCGGTGGAGGCGGGGGTGGCGGTGGAGGCGGGGGTCGGAGTGGCTCGTCCCAGCGGAGCAGCTCTGGGGGTGGTCAGCGCCAGCAGCAGCAGCAGCACCAGCAGCAGCAGCAGCCGCAGCAGCAGCAGCGCTCTCGCACCGTCCCCGGCCCTCAGCAGCTCCGTGAGTGGTACTTGCAGCGTCAGCGCGGTGGTGCGCTTGGTCCCTGCCCCTACGTTCTTCGCACCGGTGACCGTGCGGGGGAGAGGTGTGGAGGCGCCCACACAGCCCGTCGCTGCTTTGGCCGCCTGACCGACGCCTGGCGTCAGCAGTTTCCGGAGGCCGCTGAGATCCCCCGCTGGGGAGAGCTGTCTAGGGCTGGAGTAGCTATTTATGATCTTGACTTTGATGCTATTCTCTCTGCTATGTATGCTGTGACTGGTAGTGATGAGGATGACTGTTACCGGTGTTTCCCGCCCGACCCGGGCATTGGTACTGCCGCGTCAGGTACTAGTGAGGCTGCAGCTCTAGGTGCCAGTGCGTCTGTGCTCTCAGGTGCTGGTGAGTCTGCCCTCTCAGGTACTGTGTCGGCTTCGGCCTCTCACACCTTCACCCTTGACTCTGGAGCGTCTCGCTCCTTCTTTAGGGACCGCACCACTCTCACGCCGCTCAGTCGGCCGGTTGCGGTGTCCCTGGCTGACCCCTCTGGGGGACCTGTCCTGTCTCGCTTCTCCACTGTCCTCCCGTGTCCAGCGGCCCCCTCTGGCACCCTGACTGGTCTCTACCTCCCCTCGTTCTCGACGAACTTGGTGAGTGGTGCTGACCTCCAGGATGCAGGTGTCCACCAGTTCACCCCTGCTCGTCAGCGGGTGACTCACTGTACGGAGGCGGATACAGGTCGTCACCTGGCTACGTTTACACGTCGGCCAGGGTCGAGCCTGTACACACTGACCACTGCTTCTCCTCCAGGTGCTGCGTCTGGTAGAGTCCCTTCGTCTGGTCAGGTGTTTGCTGCAGCGTCCCGGTCTGGTCCTGAGTCTGCCCCCTGTTCGTGTCGTCGTCTGTCTCACGAGACCCTCCTCTGGCACCACCGCCTTGGCCACCCCTCTCTGCTTCGGCTCAGAGGCATGGCCTCGCGGGTCCTTGTGTCTGGTCTTCCCCGGTCCCTCCCTCCCCTTCCTCCGGGCCCTGGCCCTGCCTGTGTCCCCTGTGTCGAGGGGCGCCAGCGTGCTGCCCCTCACTCCTCCCAGTTTCCTCCGATAGAGGCCCCGTTGCAGACGCTTCACATGGACGTGTGGGGCCCAGCCCGCGTCCGTGGACAGGGTCAGGAGCGCTACTTCCTGCTGGTGGTTGACGACTACTCGCGTTACACCACAGTCTTCCCCTTGCGCAGCAAGGGTGAGGTCACTGAGGTGTTGATCGACTGGATCCGCGCAGCTCGTCTTCAGCTTCGGAGGAGCTTTGGCTCTGACTTCCCTGTTTTGCGTCTGCACTCGGACAGAGGCGGAGAGTTCTCCTCTGGCCTCCTGAGTGCCTACTGTCGTGTGCCAGGCATCCGTCAGACCTTCACGCTTCCGGACTCACCACAGCAGAATGGGATTGCTGAGCGCCGCATTGGCATGGTCATGGACGTTGCTCGTACGTCCATGATGCATGCGGCTGCTCCCCATTTTCTGTGGCCGTTTGCGGTCAGGTACGCTGCGCACCAGATCAACCTCCACCCCAGGGTCTCTCGACCAGAGACCTCCCCAGCCCTGCTGTGGACGGGGAAGGTTGGCGATGCGTCGGCATTCCGGGTCTGGGGATCTCGGGCGTTTGTTCGCGACCTGTCTGCGGACAAGCTGTCCCCTCGTGCTTCTCCCTGCGTCTTCCTGGGGTTCCCCCCCGACGCCCCTGGGTGGCAGTTTTACCACCCCACCTCTCGACGTGTTCTGTCCTCCCAGGACGTCACGTTCGACGAGTCGGTACCCTACTACCGCCTCTTCCCCTACCGCACTCCGTCCCTCCCCCCGCCCCCGCTCTTCTTGGTACCAGGTCCCCCCCCGGTAGCCCCTCTCCCCCCTCAGGGTCCTGCCCCTTCAGGTGTGTCCCAGGTAGACGCGGTCGAGCCTGTCGAGGTCACTGGTGCCTCTGGTGCTGCTGCGGGAGCTGAGCCTGAGGGTGCCGAGTCTGGGGGTGCTGAGCCTGGGGGTACGGTGCCTGGGGGTGCTGAGCCTGGAGGTGTCGAGCCTGGGGGTGCTGTGCCTGGGGGTGCTGAGCCTGGGGGTGCTGGGCCTGGGGGTGCTGAGCCTGGGGGTGCTGAGCCTGGGGGTGCTGAGCCTGGGGGTGCTGTGCCTGGGGGTGCTGAGCCTGGGGGTGCTGAGCCTGGGGGTGCTGTGCCTGGGGGTGCTTCGTCTCGCCGAGAGCCACTCCCCCCACAGGAGCTGCGTGAGTGGTTTGCCAGGCGCTGGAGGCGTGCTGCTGGTGCTGGTGGTTCTTCGGCTGCAGAGGGTACTGCTGCCACGCGTCCTGGCGGTGCTCGTACTGTGGGTGCTGGAGCTGCTGGGTCTGAGAGTTCTCCTGGAGCTGGTCCTGCTGAGGGTGTTGGCGCTGAGCCTGCGGTTGGCCGTCCGACTGACAGTGTTCCTGGTGCTGCTGCTGGAGGTTCTGGAGCTTCTGGTGGTTCTGCTGGAGGTGCTGCTGGAGTGGGTGCTCCGGACGAAGCTGCTGCTGCTGTTCCTGCTGTTTC